AGCAAAAAATCGGAAAAATCCAAAGTCTGTTGCACCAAGACATGACTTGACAATCCGTCTGCATATAACTGAAAATAAGGGATGCTCACTGTAATGGTAAACATAGTGAATTCACTTTGGCCATGTGACTTTCTGAAATTGAGAATCTACATATATCAAATTGGTGTTGAGTTGTCACTGTATATGAAAAAAATCGAGCAAAAAATCGAGAAACAAAGCCTTGCAAAGTCAATGACTTGAAATCCATTTGCATATACCGACAAAAAATTAAGGGCAGCTCACTGTAACGGTAAATCAGTGAATTTCACTGTTGCCATGCGACTTTCTGAAATGAGAATCTCACATATATCAATTGGTGGTTTGAGTTGTCCATTAATAAAAATCGAGCAAAAATCGAGGAAAACCAAAGCCTGTGCACCAAGTTCAATGACTTGACAACATCTGCACATATTACCGAAAAATAAGTGCAGTCTCACTGTAGGTAAAAATCAAGTGAATTCACTGTTGCATGTGATTTCTGAAATTAAGATTCCCACATATATCAAATTGGTGTAGGTAATCTGTTGTGTATAATAATTGTAAATTGAATTTTGACAGCAAATCAAAGTAAAACAATTGGGGTTTTAATTCTTACTAGAGTCATCATTTTGACTGGACTTCCAGGAATCGGGAAAGCCGACTCTTTCTCTTTCCCGATGGGATTGAAATTCTTTACAACAGGATCCCTATTTTCACGCAGCCCCAGTTAAGAGAAGCTTTTCACCGAGCTACCTGTTCTTTTATGTGTTGTTCAAGGCGGTGTTCGTTTTGTATGAACTTTATTAGTTCCCCAACGTTAGACCAACCACTTGGCTTTGAGCTTGTTGTCCAGCCCCAAGTTTAGTATCTGTCAACCCCCGTTCCTTACTAGAGTCATCATTTTGACTGGACTTCCAGGAATTAGAAGGCGACTCCTTCTTCTTTTCCGATGGAGATTAAATTCTTTCGCCGACTCTTTTTTGTGTTTATGTGTTTTAAGTATTCACATAATTCAACATCATTAATCGATTCAGTTAATCCCGAACATTCATTAACTCATTGCAATTCAATAAAGAAACTCATGAACTAAATAAATGTGCAGTTATAAATGTAACTTATTTCACTAAAATTTCAGGTTCATAAAACAAATACTTGAAATACTCCGTACGTTAGATGAAACAACAACATTGTCTTACACTCCAGTAACGAAGATATGAACGAATACAAACATATTATGAAAGATAAAGGCGTTTGATTCTCATTCCTCATCTGACATTGTAGTAGCTCAAGAGATATTTTTCATGTTTAAGACATTATTTCGCTCAATCACTGTCAACATCTTCTGTTGCTGCTTCTGCCTTTCGGTGCAGCTGAGCATGAAATGTCGACATCTCGCTCAACATTCTGTTGTTTCTCCTTCTTTAATTTTGCAACACTTTTTCATAGTCCTAAATTTCGTCTAGCCATGGTCAATGAACGACGATGAGGTATCGGTGCCCCAAAGTTACGTAGATCATTATACAATTCTTCTTGCTCCGTTACCCTGAACGCCCATTCAGCTCGGATACCAGCATAATAATCCTTCGGACTCGAGTACTTTTCGCTCTTGTAGTCATAAGTAAATGGAGGTAGCAGCCACACTTTCGGATTTCTTTGCTGGCGTGAACTTCCTGCACCTCTTGAAGACATTGTTCATAAAATAAACAAACAAATAATAATAGTAATTGTAGATATATTACTATTGTTATGGCTTGAACAAACATCATACTGGGGGTGTCGCTATTTATAGACATTATACTGAGGGTTAACTAGAGATGATCTAGTGACGATAATGCATGCTGGGGCACTATGGAAGAAGTGATACCCGTGATATTATTTTTTAGCTTTTCATTTCATGCAATCCTGAGTACCTGTGACTTTGTGTACCTGTGATGTAGTCACGGACGTGGTTGTTAAATAAAATCATAATTGTAAGCCAGAGGATGGCAGTGTAATCCCTTCATATTGGAGCAGTGAATTGTCAAATAAAACAACATGCAGTGAGTTGTCATGCGTATGCCAACTGACATGCTTACTTTTTTAATACAGGAAGCAGTCACTTCAAATTGACGATTTCAGTACAAATTGGTGTTTTCAAAAAATTATAAATGAAATCAAATGCTTAAATTTTCTTTGTTTTAAAGTAATATTCTTCATAAACAGTCTATATTTTATCTTATTTTCACTTAATGAACTTCACAGTCATCCTATTTTCTCTGCATTTTTTGCTTCTTTTTATATTCGGTAAATTACACTTTACTCCTTCAGTCCATCACATAATTGTTTATCAACATTATTGCCGTGTGGTCGTATTGATGTGACTTAGATAAATTCTGAAATGTGATAAAAAATAAAGCATTTATTTGCGCTGCAGAAAGTCACATGCATCACGTAATGTGAGGAAAAAAGTGACAAAGTATATAAGCATGGCAAAGTCAAAAAGTCACATGCATTACTGCATCACTGCATAAAGTGACATGCATCACTGCATTACTGCACAAAGTCACATGCATCACTGCATCGCTGCACAAAGTCAGATGCATCACTACATCGTTGCACAAAGTCACATAGCATCTGAGGAAAAAACAAAGCATCCAAATTATTACGTCTATTCAAGTAATTGTTGAGCATCACTGACAAATGTTGGACGTACCACTGCGCCGAGCTACAATTTATTATCATACCATACCTACTGTGCCCTTGTGAATTATGCAATCCATTAAAATTTTGTAGGGGTGTCATAACAAAATAATAATAAATTAATAAATATGTCAATACACCTAAAAACTAAAACAAATTTCTGAATAAATATTTCAAAAAATTTATAAATATTTTAAAGATTTTTAAATTGTAATTTCACATTTATTTTTTTTAAAAAAATTCAGGTAGAGAAATTTGACTAATTCAGACGTTTAGTCCGTTGATCAGCTTGGTTTTTATTTTATTATTATTATTTTTTTGTTTTTACTTTTTGTTTTGGAATAACAATAAATTATGCAATTCATAAAAGTCGAAGTAACAACTCCTATTAAGTTGATGCACAGTTGTTCAGGTCATAAAAGTTGACATGACAACTCTGATGCATAGTTGTTTACAATAATTTCATACATACAACTACCATGTGTATATATGGTATAAATATCGCATCATACCACAACAAAAGTTTTACAACTATTTCGAGCGATATCATCATGAGATATACGGTGGTTGATCTATATTCAGCAATGGGTCGCTATTGGGTTGCAGATGGAGATGAATTTGAATACCCAATAAATCCAAATTTGCGTTACTCACGTGCCACCATCAATACCATGAGAGCTGAGTGGGAATTTCGCAAAACTCGAGCAAACGTTCTCATTCAGCTATGTCGTGAAGTTAATCTTAAATTTCCTCGCCGGTTAGCTATGCGTATGCCAACTGACACTCCATAGTTGTTGCAAAGGGCATTGCATCGTATCCGCGACGAGGTTAATCGCATGACCCAACGTTTGCAAAGGTCCGGATTAATGAAGACCGCAAATGAGCGTGCCGAAGATGGGTTAATGGATGATACACCAGTACTACGCCTGGAGCATGGATGTTATGTATGAATCTGATATTGAGATGTCAGATGGTGATGATAATGAATGAAATTGTTTGGATGAATGCCCAGGGCATTTCTGTAATGCATGCAATTTGTAATGCTTATCCACGACTTATCAATGAAGGGAGATATTTCAATTGTTTTCGAATATTTCGTGTAATTCTTTCTTTACTTTCTCTCCGTTATTGTTATTTTGAAGAACGCTACTTGAACTAGACTTTCATGTTTTCATGCATTATTTATGTGGAATATAATAATGATACTTAATGAAGTACATGTTCATATAACAAATAGTTGAAATACACGTTTAAGCTAGATGAACAACAAATATATATGTCTACATTTTGTTTGGTTATCATTGGTTTGTACCTGAAAAGAAGACAGTGAATGCAATCATTCAGAAAAGTGAAAGAAAAGGGAAAACAAAATTATGTGTTTGTTTAGATATTTATTTTGTTTCCTTTTTATTCATATTTCTCCCCACAACTATCCATTATGCAATGTTTACATTTTTTTTCCAGATTTTTTTTTATAAAATTTTTACTAACCAGTAGCAACACAAGTGGTCCTCCAATCTCGTTCAATAATAAAATCTTATCAATTATTATCCTTTTTTTCCTGTTTTCGTTGTCATTTTTATGGAAATCATCAAAACAAGTAAGAATAAAAAATTGTAAAATTATATTTTTCCAATAAATAAGTATGACACATTTACATCATCTGTACAAGTTTGATATACAAAAACTATAACAAAAACTATAAATAAAATAAACTATACACTCCACATCACACCCGCTAATGCCCTAACCTGCCCCCAGTCTCACAACCCCGACCGTGGACCTCCCTCCTCAGTCTCCTGCAGTAGACTCTCTGAATATCTGGCTCCCCCAATCGTAAATGCGTATCCTGTGGAGCCTGTGACTGTGACCCCCCCTCTACTGCATGTGCTGCCCCTGATCCTGTCTGTGGTGGAAGATCGGGTACTGTTGTATGCTGCGAAACTCCATCATCTGGTGCAGCTGTATCACGATCTGCAGCTGGGGCTCGACCTCTGCCTCTGCCCTCACCCTGACCTCTGCCCCGACGTCCGCCACGACCAAAACCTCGGCCTCTCCCGCGCGCTCTGGGAGGGGCTCAATATGGCCCTCAACGTCAACGTGGGAGATGTCAGTGAGAACTGCATCCTGTGTACTCATGGTCGCGGTCGAACTGTCTGGTGGTGGTAACTGGGTAGGTGGGGTAACAACGTCATCCATGTATCAGGACGGTGTCCAATCAGGGTCAAGCACATAAGGTATGCCAGTATGTGCACATAAGGTGTACAAAATTTTGTTGTTTTATTATGAATTGCACACCATACGGGTCTCCCTGTGTGATATCTATAACCTGTCTATAAAAGCAAGAAACCTGAGTCTAACGATAGCGAATGTAACAAGCTTTAAAATGTCAAATTCACCCTCTGTGGATATTGTTTGGCAAGCTACGAATGACACCGGTTGACCTGTTTGCGGTGCTTCTGCAGCCCCCCATTCTCTTTGCCGTTGTTGTCTTCATCAAATCGTGCCACCTGTGCCACTCCAGATGAGGCTGTGGCTGTTCACCCCAGCTTCTTGCTCAAGTCATGTGCTATTAAGAGGTTTAAAGAGTTCAATTTCATTGCTGCTTTATCAAAGAAATACAAGAGAAGAGGTATGCTATTCTTCCATTTTGCTGTAAAAACTGAGACATGTATTGCATCTTCTATCGTCCTACTTACTGATTTTTGCTCTTATCAAGTTCTGTTCCAATTTTCTTTTCATCAATTAGTTTGTGTGTGATGATGTTGCTATTGTTGTTGTTGTTGGTGTATTTGTTGCTTTAGTTTCGTGTGTGCTTGTATTTATTGTTGTTCTTCACCTTTTTGCACACCATGTGTTTGACAAAATGTTCATACGAATTTGGTCCATGCTCATGTCTTGTTTCGAAGCAATAAAAAAGCAAATATAGTTTTGCTGCAATATAGCTATACACCAATTTCTTTTTTCTTTGTCGAACTTCAAATATTATGTATGAAGCCCATATGGGCTGATTGATGCAGTTGGGATCCTAGGTTGGATTAAGATTTCAACCTCTTATCTTATCCTTTTTGTTTTTAATTTTTTTTCATTCCCTGTGTCAAGTAAGTTATGTAGTAGGCTAGACCAACCTTGTTAGCTAAATGTTCGTCCAATAATAGAAGGTTAATTGATTGCCCATGAGTGCACATTGTTTTTCTAATGTGTAAGGCCAAAAACCAAGAATTTCCTTAGTTTGGTTCCCTTTGATTTGGTTATTGTCCCATGTTTGGAGAATTGATAGTGGGCTGTTTGGCTTGGGTTTTGGCATCAACAAAAGCCAACATGCATTAGGCTTGCATCCCTGTTGGCAGTTCATGGAGGGTTAGAAACCAATATAAAGACTTTTTACATACTTCTCATATGTTTAATGACTCCCTCCCTGCGAATGTGTGCGTGCATGTACGCGGTTTTGTGTTTGGAGGAGACAACGAAAGTCAACCAGTGTGGTTCATGCATGAACTTCAGCTCCCTCCATCTATGTATGTGTGCACGTGTGTGTGCAATTGTGCGAATGGAGACATAGAAAGTCAACCTGTGTAGTTCATACATGAACTTTAAGTTAAACACTGTAGGCTTGCCAATTACTTACATAATTTCAGCTTTAAGACACTTGTTTGCATCACGTTTTACTTCCAATTTTTGTTTAATCAACACACTTCATGTATTATAGCTTTGTTGCGTTTACACTACACACACACACACAAAAATTGGCGCACTTGAATTATATAAAAATGGGAAATTAGTAGAGCACATTTGTACATTGACTTCTAGAAATAAATCACAATTATTAAATTGAAGGAAAATTTTTACACTGGATCTGAATGTAGGATATGAGAATACAAGGTGACCTACAGACCTTCCACCTAATGCCATGGAATTTATCAACTGAGCCTCTTATCTTAGATCGCCAGGTGTTTTTTGATTGCATAAATATTTTCTCAAATTAGCTATTGGGCTCATTCGTGCAACTTATGGTGTCTTTACAGGCTTAATTTTTTCATTATTATAATTGATGAATTCACTTTTGCATTTGGGAATTTTGGCATCTTTGGGTATGTTTGATTGCAAGGATTATAGTACAGAATTGGGATTGTTAGTCCATGGACTCCCAATCACATATTTGATTGCAAATTTTATTAATCGGATTACATGTACGATAGATATTCAATCCGATGAAATTGACGAATTTTTATATTGACAGGGGCAAAGGATTATAATTTCAAATATGAAAGAAAAATAAGATAAAATGAATACATAATAAATGGTTATCTCACTAATTTAATTGGATAATTAATCCTACACTAATTCATGGGATTATTAATCTTTTCACTATTAATCCTGTTAATCAAACAAGCTCTTTGTTCACAATGGGCCAAGAAAGCTGTTTAATTTGAAATAACCTCCACTGGCTGCTAATCCGGTTTTGGAATGAAAGTCGTTGGCCGGACCATGCTCTTCCCTTTAAGCCCACCTACTACCAACCTCGTACTGTCAGGATATCCCGGGTTGCCACCTAGCACCTGCTCATTTGATTTGGGAGTTGAAACTCTATGTTATTTGATATTGGTATTTAGGAATTTGGACGTTCTTATACATTTTATACAGATATGTTTCAAAATGAACTCAAAATATAACAAAACATATCATCAGAAATTTAATTTGGAGTACTATCCATACCTCCTTTGCATCAGGTTCAATTGAGTATTGCAAGGGTCCTTCAATGCATAAGCACTTTTAGTTCTCAATTGCTAAGAATAGTTCTGGCTTGAGAACTACTAATTCTTTCTCAACAAGCACTGTTAGAGAACTAAGAAGTCACTGCTTTTTGCTCGAAAGCCAACTTTTACTGGTGTCCTCTGGCCTCTTTTTAGCTCTTTCTGCTTCTGCCCCTACCATTTTTCTGTGTTCTTTTTTTATTTTTTTTTGAAAATGCAGATAAAACCGCACTGTCACCTCACATGTCTCCATCGGTGTTTTGATGTGATTTTTTTTTTAATGCTCATCGAATTAAACACATGCTTTACAACGGCTTGTATGGGCCCCCATCAATTCATGAGTTCCATCCTTTCAAACTTACTCCAATGTCTGAACTATTCATTCATCTTATTTATACATAAAGAGCATGGAAGTAATGCAGTCTATAGATTTACGGTGCATATCCATATGCGATATCAACATGCACGAATCAAACATCTGACCTGTTTTTTTTCAACAAAGCAAGGGTTTGGAGTTAATTAATTTGGCCGTGCTTGTTTTCTAAGTACCCAAGATCTATTCTTGTATTTTGGCTTTGTTCACACCATTTTTTTGTATGTAATGTAGCTCATTTAATTACAGAAAGTGTTTGATGAGGCAATTATTGACATTCTGTTTCCTATGGATGAAATTGGTACCGTAAATCCAAAAGTGCTACGGGAGCTCTTCTCAGTGCACTGCGATTGGCAGTAGGCAAAGTTCCAGAAGATTAGTAAGAAACAGGTTTGCTTTGAGACTGAAAAAAAAACTCTTGCATTTGCAACAGTGCAGTGAGCATATTTATGATATCTGTTTGGACAAGGCATGGATAAGATAGATCTGCGGCAGATTCTCCTAAATCCCTCTATGCATTTATTCTTTTTCTACAATTGCATTGATATGGATTTGTGTCATGTTTTAAAATTGGGATACAGATCTTTTGAGTAACATAGTACTCTTATATGGGCTGGGACACATTTAAGCTGTATATAAAGAGAGGTTCTTGACATAATATATTACGTTTTTATTTAATTACTGTAGCAAGAATCCACCAATGCAAGGAAGCTGCATAGAACCTATTCTTCTTGTTTGCACTGGTTAATTATTTTCTGTGTTTGAAAAACTTTGTGAAGATGGGAGTAGGCTCATTTTGAGGCTGACCTTAATAATCCGAACCATTTACTTTTGAAGACTTGTTTAGTAAAATATTCATGCAAAAAAAACAAGATAATCGAATATCGGTTGATATATTTTGAATCTCATTTGTAGTACATAGTTTCCGCATTAAAGTTCTTTAGGAAAATTCCTCTCTTTGTTAGAAGTTCATAAAAATTATTACATAGTTGTAGTGATTGGTTTTTGTTTCAATTTTGTCTTCCTTCAATTTTTTATTAGCCAAAATGAAGTTGATGAACCTATAATAATCTATGATTTTTTTTATTAGCAGTTGTGTTTAATTTAATTTTTCAAGTGTGTTTTTAAATGGTATATCTATGTGTAATGATTCTTTTGGATTTGATAGGGAATGCTCTTGCTGGGCATATAAAACTTGTGCATAATTTGAGGATATGCTAAAGAGACTAATACTTCATTGCCTCCAAGGTTTGACATAAATATAAATTTTGTTAGTGTCTTGTGTTTGATTTTGTTATTTGACTGTGTATATTTGTTTGCGATTTTTCTTTGGATTTGTTAAGCAGGGCTCAAACTCGGGCATAAACTAATGCATAGGAGCTATTTGACTAAAATTCCGAAAATGCTTGTACTCTTCTATTACAATACATCTTCTATGGCAGTGTTATTTTTTGTAGTCAAGTATTGCTTTTGAGGTGTCATTAACTGTGGCTTCCATGTGTTTGCAGATGGGTCTATTGACGAACAACTGAATGGTGAGTCAACCCAAAATCTTTTGCCTGCCCAAAGGGTTCTGAGAGTAAGATAGGAATGGAAAGACATTATGTGATCCACATAGCATTTCTACATCAATAAAATGTATAAAAATAAGTGGATTCAAACTGAATAAATAATGCTGTAAATTTTGAAATGATTTAATTGAAATATATATTGTATACATAGTAGGAATAAAATGGTCAACATATAAAGCTGTCATGTTGCTTTCATTGTGGAGTGATGGTTAATATCATGGGTTATACTGATAACAAACCATAAAAGATTTTTCTCTACTTAAACTTTTAACAAATATTTTGGCTTTCTCAAATATGATGATCAAAATTCATCATGGGTATCTAATGGAGATTGGCATGATTATTCTCCCATCCAATTGCAATACGAACTACACCCGGGGGGGATGCCAACTAGTATACATAAAAGTATAATATAAATTATTACAAATAATATTAATTAAAAATTGAGAAACCCCGTCGGGGGTATTTTTCGGGGAAAAACCGCTTAAATCGGGGTCGGGATCGGGGATCCCCGTCGGGTCGGTTTCAAATTGCCATCCCTAGTGGGGGGGGGAGTGTTGGTGGTGTTCCAACTATTATACATAAAAGCATAATATAAATTATTATAAATGATATTAATTAAAAATTGAGAAATTGTGAAAGTATAGTAAAATAATCTTACAGTAAAATTATAAAAGTTCTTCCAAGTTTAAAAATTAAGTAGAAAAAATGAAGGCTATGAGAAACCAACTCTCTCTTTATTTTTGGAGTTGAACACTAAAAAACGATATATTTACTTTCAAGAGTCTTATATAAATAAAAACAAATGGTCTCCCTTCTTATCCAAAAAGAAAAAAAGAAAAAAAAAAGTCGTCTCCCTAGTTTTTACATTGATGATGATTGAAGAAAAAAAAATAATTATTTTCTCTTATTTCGTATATCTACTTCTATACTGATATATATATATATATATCTACTACTATTATAAAAGTATGAAGAGCCTGCCATGTTTTCTATTTTTTTGAAATTTCAATTTTACCCTCGCAAATCTACTTTTTTTTTTTAAAAGTCATGAAGAGTCCTATATAAACCAACTATCTCTTTATTTTTGAAGTTAAACACTCAAAAATAATATATCTGCTTCCAAAAGTCCTATATAAATATAAATAAACTGTCTCCTTTTTTATCCCAAAAAAATAAAAAAAAATCTTTCTATTTTTTACATTAATGATGATTGAAGAACAAAAAACAACTACACTTTCTTATTTCTTGTATCTGCTTCTATACTGATATACATGATATTTACAATTGTGCACATGGATCAAATCACTATGAATAATTTTGGTTGAATCTTAAAGTTGTATACATTTGTTCAAATCTAGACAGAGGAAAGCATATACGTTTGTGCTGCATCTCAAAAATTTGCAGGCTATTTTCATACACTTTCTTTTTGTTTAAATTATATTTTATGAACTCTAATATTTTACATGGTAATTTAATAACTAAGATATGATGTCAAAATTCTAAACAAGAACCACTTTCATTGGTTTTATTTTTTAATCTATTTTTCAGTTAAAAATAAAGTAAATTATTGAAAAGTCCAACTTAAGAAGGGTATGAGGCATTAGGTCTAGTGGATATTTTTTTATTAGTGAGAAGTCCACCCTTTGTGAAATAATTTGGTGAGATGTCCTTTTGTTTATTTTGAAGGACATTTCATTTTCAATTTTACCACTTAATTTATTTGTTGATTTTTTGACTATCTGTTCAAATTTATATCTATATGTTCATTCCAAGCAATTGCTTTAATTGAGAAGCTACCTAACGGTTGGAAAAACTTTAAGAATTGTTTGAAGCACAAGCGAAATGAAATGACAGTCAAAGAGCTCGTTGTCAAGCTCCGTACTGAGGTAGATAACAGGAAGAAAGAGGGAAGTACCTCCGTTGTCAAAGAAAATATGGTTGAACATAGTCAGTCTTTGGGGGTCAAGAAGAAGCAGCCAAACAAAGACTTGAAGCTGGGGCCTAAAGGTGGTGTCTTCAAGAGGCCGGTCTACAAGCTGCAGGAACCTACTTATAGGTTCAATGGGAAATGCTTCAACTGTGGAAGCGATGTGCATCGACGGTTGATTGCTGCAAGAAGAAGAAGAAGTCATATAAGAAGAATCCTTCACAGAACAAAAGCCAGGCTCACATGGCTGAAATAGGGGATCTATCTCAAGATGTGGATGACATGCATCTGTCTATTGTCTTAGAGGTGAACATGATGGGTAGACACTAAGGCCATTCGCCACATTTGTGCAGAGAAGAAGATGTTTACAACTTTCGAACTGGTTTCAAATGGTGAGAAATTATTCATGGAAAATTGTACAACCTCAATTGTTGAGGGGAAATGCAAGGTAGTCCTAAAGATGACTTCAGGAAAAGAGCTGACTTTGAACGATGTCTTGTTTGTGCCAGACATTCGCAAAAACCTTGTCTCGGGATCTCTCATAAGCAAGCATGGTTTTCACATAATTTTTAAATCCGATAAGGTCGTGTTGACCAAAAGAGGAGTTTATGTGGGGAAGAGATATATGTTGGGTGGTATGTTCTAACTAAATGTAATGACTATTATCTCAAAAATTAATGAGAAAACGTATTCTTCTGTTTATATGCTTGAGTCCCTTGAATTATGGCATGGTAGACTACGTCATGTGAATTTTGACTCTTTGCTTAGATTAATCAAGTTAGATCACATACCATCTTTCAAGATTAATCTAAATCACAAGTGTGAAACTTGTGTGGAAACAAAATTGACTAGGGCTTATTTCCATCCCGTGGAAAGAAGTGCCGAGCCTTTGGATTTAGTATTTAGCGCAAAGTAATGCGTATCACTTAAAGGTCATACAATCATGTGGTGGCAACAAGTATTTCATCACTTTTGTTGATGATTGTACTAAATTTTGTTATGTGTATTAGCTTAAAAACAAAGATGAGGCGGGTTGATAAATTTATTCTTTTTAAGAATGAAGTTGAAATTAACTAAGTCGAAAGATTAAGGCTTTAAGAAGCGATCATGGTAGAGAATATGAATCACCGTTTATTGAGATTTGTGCTCAATCTGGAATTATCCATCAAACTACAGCGCCTCATTCCCCTCATTCAAATGGTGTTGCTGAGTGAAAAAATAGGACATTGACAGAAATGATGAATGCAATGCTAATAAGTTCTGGGGTGCCATAGAACTTGTGGGGGAAGCAATTCTCTCTGCGAATTACATTCTAAATAGAATACCTTGAAGGAAAGTGGACAAGACTCCATATGAATAATGGAAGGCCGCAAGCCTTCTTACAATTTCCTAGGAATGTGGGGTTGTCTTGTAAAAGTGGCAGTGCCTAAATCTAAATGGGATAGGATATGAAAACCGTGGATTGTATATTCATTGGTTATGCACATAATAGTAATGGTTTTTTGTGCACAAGTCTGATATTTCAGATATACATAAGAATACAATTATGGAGTCAAGGAATGCGTCTTTCTTTGAGGACGTGTTTCCTTGTCGAACCCGAGAAGAGGATCAAAGTTCCGAAAAGGAACTTGAAGATTATGCTAGTGATAGTGATCAAGATAAGGAGGTAGATGAGCTAAAAATGAGTAAGAGGTCTAGGACTTTCAAGTCCTGTGGTTTGGACTCCTTGACTTATATGGTAGAGAAAGAGCCTCGTACTTTCCATGAAGTTGTGACTTTACCTGAAAGTCCTTTGTGGAAAGAAGTAATTAAAAGAGAAATTAACTCCATCTTACAGAACCATACCTGAGAGTTGGTTGCTTTACCCCCAGGTAGTAAGGCTTTAGAGAGTAAGTGGATCTTTAGAAAGAAGATGAAGGTTGATGAGTCAATTGATTAATATAAAGCTAGACTAGTTATCAAAGGATATATGTAGCGAGAAGGCCTAGATTATTTTAATACGTATTCACCTGTGACTAGGATTATATCCATTCACTTGGTGATTGTGATAGTAGCTTTATTGTCACGACCCCAAACCGCCCCTAGTAGTTTGGTGCCGTGATGGCCAGTAATCCGTAATTACCGAAGGCCAACTTTTCAAAACTTAACACAATCAGAGTATGGATATAGGGGGCTCACAAATGCGGAAGCGATAAATCAAATACAAGTGGTCCATAAGAGCTGTGCGTAGATCAAAGCAATGCCAAACATTTCCAATTAACTTTACAACTTGAATACAACAGCGTAAAATATATGTTACATCTTGATCAAAAGGCTTCTCGAGCCGACATATACAAAATACAGCTAATACAAGTCAAGAAGCATGATTTTCAAGATTTGCCGACATGCAAAGCAGGGCACCGCCGACGTAAATACAAAAGCAAAGCCGACATAAGTACGAATCCAAAACAAGCATCCAAAACGATCTAGGCGTCGCCGCCGTCCTGCTCATCACCTACATATATATAGAGGGGTGAGTACAAATTCTCAGTGAATGGTACTAATAATAAAGGTTTTGCATGAATATAGCCGAGGTCCTTCAAAACGAAACACATCAAACTTTAGCAAGACGAGGGATGAACCGTATTCATCAATCAAATATTACAAGTATCCAAAGGTGTTTACTGACATCGGCGAAGCAAGGGATGAACCGTATTCATCATTCAAGTATCATAACATCGGCGAAGCAAGGGATGAACCGTATTCATCATCAAATATCAATATATGGATTGTATAGGAGATTATTGTGTATGGTTATTATAGTGCTTGAGGTTTTCTCTCTCAGTGAGGTTTGCCTTGCCGGGATTGGGTTGTGACAGTAAGAAGAGGTCGCATCTCCAAAGCTTTTTTTTAAAAAAACTCTTTATAATATACTAATTAGTAAAATAATTTTAAAATTAGACTATTTTGCACCCTAAAACAATAAAATTACAAAATCATTTTCAAAATAGATTTTTAGTTTAATTTATATTCATAGTTGCTTATTCTTGTATTTGTTCTTGTTACTATTTTTATTTTTTGTCCATCTATTATTTATGCTATTTCTACACATCTCACTTTAATTTTTTTTTATGCCCTTTAATTTGCATCTTATTTGTTCATCCTCTAAAAATAAAAATTTTGTCCATCTATCATTTATATGATCTTGAGGTGGCAACACGTATTTCATCACTTTTGTTAATAATTGCACTAAGTTTGGTTATATGCATTTGC